CTCACTTCTAATAAGGCATGCTCTTTTACAATTCGCGAAAGCTCAGAAACGAGAGCAACGTGAGTTTCAACTGTTCCAGAGGCTTTTCTGAAGGACGGATAGTTCTCAAGAAAATTTTTGAGATCCTGTATGGACTCTACACTCTTTGTATCGACTAGTTGCGATGTTGCTTGAAAGCTTTCAACCAGTCGCTTGATTGCAGATCCAATTTCACCAAATCCAGAAAACTGATTGTCTCTATAAAATTCATCGAATTCCCTGGATAAAGTAATCTCATTTAGGCCATCTCGAACACCGGGAGCTCTGTTAAGATTGACTTTGTTATGCTTTATCCCAATTAGCTCGTGAACCATCGCTTCATAAGTCCATTGGCTGAGAAGGGGCGAGACTGGATCTTGACGTCTGTCTAAAATTAAGAGTGTGGGACATTCGACCTGTCGAAAATCAAAAAGAATTGCCTCTCTAGAGATAATAGACCTCAGAGACTCTGAAAACTGACGACAAACATCTGAAGAACTCTGGTATCTGATAATTGGACAGCGACGTATCGCTAATAAAACACTGGATAGGCCTGCAGTGCTACGAGTCAAAACGTCCGGGCGTATTTCGTACTTCACATTTAAAGAAACTGGTAAATCAAATACATACAAAAACGGTGACAGAGCAACGAAATCAGCGTAAAATTCTTGAACGTCAGAGACTACCTCGTGATCATCGGCCTCAGCGAGAAGCTTGAGAGCAGATTTGGGCAAGGCATTTGTAAAATATAGATAATATGAAGTATAGTTTGGTTGATTGAGCTCTCGACATAAATGAGATATATTAGATTTAGTTGGACGTAAAAAACATATGCATTTCAAGTGTTTAATGGGCTCACGAGGGACGGAAATTCTTTCGACAAGGTAAACTTCATGCTGCATAATCTCCGACATTGACATAACTACGCTTAAGATGTTTATTGTTTCCTCATCGATCATCACAACTTTCATCCCGGAACCGGATTGGGCGAGCATTTTAACAACATAATTCCTGACGCATTTATGAAGATTCATGAAGAAGGATCGTTCGAAAGGGGAGACGGAGGGGGAGAAAGGTGTGCGCACAAATAGTACTAAATAATAGCAATATTAATAGTAAATGGCAATAGTAACATTAATAATAGTATCAATTATTATTTATTTATTTATTTCATTAAAATATGAATGCAATATGATATAATGAAAATAAGTCAATAAATATAAGAAGATAACTAAATAGAATTAAAATACGTTAGAATACTCTTCACTACCTTATTTTAAATTTGAAGACAACTCTAGAGATATCCACTCTTGTAGGAATGACTTAAACAATTAGTACCGAATAAATATTACTAAAATGTATTGTTTGGACTTTTATTTCGTATAAAAGTGAACGAAGAAGAGATCCGAATGTCGATCTCACCAGAAGAGGACGAGAAGAGGCATTAAGACAAGGTTGAGATCGATGCAGTCCACGAGACCTCACTCTTTTCAGGTGAAAACGGCCTGAGCTTTCGTTCATCATATGATGGACATCATCAGAGCTTGAACTCATTATTGTAAAATTATCAAGTTGACACTATGTAGTCTTATTTATACAAAAGATAATTTAAAAACATAGATCGATATATGATCGTTTTGTTAATTATCTTTATTCTGGTCACCTTCGTTTGGATGATGGTTCAATGACTCTATACTTTCAACCTTTCAATCAAGCATAAGTAGTTCCTACTTAATTTTATACCACCGTTCTTCACATTCAATCTATTTCCTAATATATTAACTTCAATAGCGTTCCTTATCTTTCTTTTAGCAGCAGATGTACCGTAATCAGCAAACCTACTAGTTTGAGACTATTTAATATTATGTCAAATTTCTATCACGCGTTCGGCTACTTCTGACCTTTGGACCCAATTTCCTTAACAAGCTGTTTGTGTTCCTCCAATCTTCGTCGAATAGGTCGGCATGTCTCAACAAGATAAGATCGACTATATGAACAAACAATCTTGTATCACCTGGATCTTGATACTGGGTCATATTTCTCTTTACAAGATAGTAAAACAGAAGAAGATGTGAGGGTTACTTTAATCACTGTTTATATCCCCCCCTCCTTGCTAACTTGCTGATCTTTTTTGAAGGAAGGCATGATGGTAAAATTATGACATGGGAAATGTTCTCAGCTTGTCTATCATTGATTAACTGATCTCCGTCTGAAAATTTATTCCCCAGAAATTTTATTTTTAATAAGCTTCAAAGGATAATTATTTTCCAGAAATTAATTTGTCAGCTGTTCCAACTCTTTAGTCAAATATTTGTTATCCTCTAGTCTCATACTCACAATAATCATTTACTTCAAAATTCCAACCCTTATTTTGTAACTATAGCTGGAAAGAAAATTAAGTAAAGATCTAACATGTTGGCTTCCTATAAACATATCTTCCTAACTTACCATCTTCTCTAATAATGAGAACATCAAGAAATGGTAAGGACTTATTCTTTGCCCTTTCCATTGTGAACATAAAGTTCATTTCATGCTGATTGAGTGAAAGTATGAAACTATCTAAACTTTTCTTACCATGACATGATAGTCATCCATGTACCTAACTAACAATTAGAAGGCTAGTATTTCCTCTTGCAGTAAGTGTTCCTCCAGTCTTGCCATATATTGTTGGCCAAGATGGGGGCCAGGTAAGAGCCCATC